CCCAAGATTATGACCTGAGCAGAAATGAAGTCAGACGCTTTAACTGACTGAGCCACCAGGCATCCTTACATTTCTTTTGTTTTTTTTTTTTTTTTTAAGATTTTATTTGTCAGAGAGAGAGAGAGGGCTCGGGCGTGCGCACCAGCAGGGGGAGGGGCAGAGGGAGAAGCTGGCTCCCGCTAAGCAGAGAGCCCAACGCGGGACTCATGACCTGAGCCCAAGGCAGAGGCTTTAACTGACTTGAGCCACCCAGGTGCCCCATCTACATTTCTTTTTTTATAAGTTTTTGCATTTCCCAAATGCCCTGCAAAAAATTTATACTTAGGGAAAAAACGTTGATCAGAAAATACACATTCCCTGTTCAAGTCTTCAGCTCTGCTTGGGACTGGTGGCTTCCTTTCTGGCACACCTTTTCTAAGACGCTGCAGATGCCTGCCAGCATTCTCAGGGTTCCTGGGGTCGGGGGCTGATGAAGAGGGGTCACTAAGAGCCCCCCAGGAGGCTCCTCCCCAGTGAGCACCTTCTGCTGACAGGCCTGGTGAAGGCAGATCACACTCGGCCTGGCTGGGGCTCCCGAGACCCTGCCGGGGAGCCTGCAGACCCTGCTCCCAAGTCCTGGTTTTAGCCACCACTACCCTCCAGCCTTGCCCTGGCTTGCTGACAAACCCTTGGTCCACCTGAGAATTCCAAACATCCCCAGGCCAGACGCTGTGTGAATTCTAGTCCCGGCCCCTCTCCTTCCCACTAGGTGGCCGGGGCGCCTGCAAATAGGGTCTGATCTTCGTCAGTCCTAATAACAAATGAACAACCAAGAAAAAGCCAACATATCTTTTCCTTTTTTTTTTTTTCTGATCAAAAGTCAGTATTTGGAAAACAGGTGAGTGGAAAAAGGAAACAAAACCCACCCACCATCCCCATGTGATTTATTGAAGCCCGTGTGTACATCCAGGCACAGACCGGGATGGTTTAGAAATGCTGCTCTGTGGCGGACATCCAGGCTCGACAGTCATGGGGAGTCCCCACTCTGGCTCAGCCTTCCTCACTGTCCTTCCCTCAGCCTGCAGGCTGCTTGACCACAGCCCCAGCCCTGTCCCTTCTCTGTCCAAGAGAAATGCCCCGCTGCACAGCCAAACGGGGAGGATTGACAGCTTTCTGCCTTGGCGCCTCCCCCAGATAGGTTCTCTGCCTTTTTATCGTTGTTGTTTAGAGAAGGAGAGAATCTCCTGCAGATTCCACGCCCAGTGGAGAGCCTGATGCAGGACTCGATCTCACGACCCTGAGATCATGACTTGAGCCACAATCAAGTCAGACGCTCAACCAACAGAGCCACACAGACACCCCGGGTTCTCTGACTTTTATCAACTCAATGGGGAGCCCAGTGGGGAAACCGTCTGTCCTTCCCGCCGTCCTGGGCACACTCTGGGCCATGGACTTTCTGGTGCTGGATGAGGGTGGACAGCCGGCTGCAGGCCCTCCCGCAGGTCTGGCACCTGTACGGCCTGTCCCCGCTGTGGAGCCGGTAGTGCTCGTTCAGTGTGTAGCTCCTGCGGAAAGCCTTGCCACACTCCGTGCAGGCAAAGGGCTTCTCCTTGGTGTGGGTCTTCTGGTGCAGCGTGAGGTTGGACTTCCGGCTGAAGGCTTTGCCACATTCCCTGCACTCGAACGGCTTCTCACCCGTATGCAGCCTCTGGTGCAGGAGGAGCAAGGAGTTGTGTTTGAAGGGCTTCTGGCACACGGAGCACTGGTAGAGCCTGTCCCCCGAGGCAGTCTTCTGTGCCGCGCTGAGCAGGGGCTTCTGACAGCCGTTGTCTTCTTGGGGGCTCTCCCGGGCATGCAGTCTGTGGTGCTTGAGCAGTGAGGACCCACGGATGAAGCGCTGCCCGCACTGCAGACACGTGTAAGGCCTCTCCCCGCTGTGGATGCGGCAGTGCTCATTGAGGGTGAACCTGCGGCAGAAGGCCTTCCCGCACTCACCGCACTCGTAGGGCTTCTCCCCCGTGTGAAACTTCTGGTGCTGCCAGAGCCGGGAGCTGCGGCCGAAGGCCTTTCCGCACTCGCCGCACTCGTAGGGCTTCTCCCGAGTGTGGACTCTGTGATGCGCTGTCAGCTGAGTGCTCTGCCGGAAGGCCTTCCCACACTCGCTGCACTGGTAGGGCTTCTCCTCAGTGTGGATCAGCTGGTGTCTCAGGAGGATTGAGCTCTGCTTGAAGGCCTTGCCGCACTCGGTGCACTGGTAGGGCTTGGCCCCCGTGTGGATGACCTGGTGCCTGAGCAGCAGTGAGTTGTACTTGAAGGCCTTGCCACAGGCACACCTGTATGCCCTCTCCCCTACAGCATCCGCAGGGCCCAAGCCTCGCTGCTTCTCCTCCAGGGCCGCGGGGGATGTGCTAAGGTCCCCGGCAGGGCCGCCTGTCTTGGGGTTGAGGGGTCGTTTATCTAACCCATCCTCAGGACTGCCATTCCGTTCAGGAAACTTGGGTCTTCCCCCAGGGAGGCGCCCCCAAAGCGTGCCCAGTGGTCCTAACTGCTTAGAAGACACTCTCCTCAGACAAAATTCCTTGATCCCAGCCTGCATCCTAGAATCTGGAAGAATGAACAGAAAATGGAACGATGACCTAGCCTCTATATTCATTAAATAAACTCCGAGATTTGAAGACAGAATCTCTATGTCACAGTAGGGAGATTTGGGAACTTCTTCCAAGAATCTGTCAAATCACGATTTGTGAAAGAAACAGGACCTAAAGAAAGGTTAATAAGGGCTTAAGCACTGTGGGAAGTTGGCTTGGGAGAGGAGCTCACGAAAGGGGAGGAACATCAGGGGGAGAAGGGAGGGCACAGGCGTGGTCCAAAGGACTGCGAGGGGAGCAGGCTTGATGCAGGAGTGAGACCTGCGGGGTGCGGGGTGCTGCTATTCTTCACTCCCCTCTTCCTCTGAGCACTCACCCACAGCTGCACTCAGCAGACACCTCAGGCTCCTGTCCAAGCAGGACCCATGACTGCAGGCTGCCTCTCCTCCCTTTCTGCAGCCTCTGCAGTCCCAAGCTCAGGCCCTGGTTTGTGAGCCACGGGGAGCTGGGAGAACCAAAGTAGCTCAAGGGTCTTCCCTGCTGGGTCCTCCTCACACACCCACTGCCCCCACAGATCTGGCCTGACATCTCAGAGGACTGGGAAGGACATTCATGCACTTGGGTTCCTTGCACGAGTTAGTCCTGGGTGACCTTGGATGACAAGCAAGGCGTTTAGCAGGAAATTTGGTCCTCTCTGAGGAGCTAAATGTACAGCCTTCCCACTGCCCAAGCACCAGGGGGCTACAAAAAGTTGTGTGAAGGGGCTACAAAAAGTTGTGTGAAGGCCAGGCCTTGCTGTGCCTTGCACTTACCTGGGCATAGGCTGGCTGTGGACCCTTGCTCCTCAGTCCCCTGCAGAATCAAAGCCCCTGGCTCCTCCCCTTGCTCCAAGAGGGAGATCAGTGCTGGTTTAGCAACAAGAAAGCCTACATGCAGGGAGGAGAGCATCACGTGTCAGGGAGCAGAAGGGTGCCCAGCTGTGGGGCTGGAGGCCTCAGGGGACACAAGGTGCTTGGAATGGATTGAGAACCCTACTTTCCCAGGAGTGGGGCAGTGGGGTGGCCACAGAGAGATGGGGGCAACCCCCCAGCTTCCCCTCCAAACATGGTGGACTTTGAATCTGGAAAGGAACCAACTCCTCCAAGAGGCCATGGAAGAGGCAGGGTTGCCCTTGAGCCCAGCCCTGGGATGGATGGGGAAGCCTCACCCAGCGAGGCCATGTGCCCGTAGTTCTCCAGCATCACATCCCTGTACAGCGCCCGCTGGTCGGGGGCCAGGCAACTCCATTCTATCCTTGTGAAGTACACGGCCACGTCCTCAAACACAATGGCCTCCTGCAACCACAAACCCTGCTGTCTGGGGGCTATCTGGGCAGGAGATGCAGAGACTGTGTCAGGGATATTCAGGGCACCTGTTCAGCTCTGGAAGTCAAGGCCTCTGTCTACGTGGTCACTGCTGCATCCCCAACGCCTGGCACAGAGGGGACACCTCAACACTCCCCAAGGAAGTGGAGCAGTCCTATTGCCCTAAAGCCGTGGGAGGTGTGGAGTCTCAACCTTGGCCTCATACCTCTCCATAGGCTAACAGGGATCTGGGGAGGGGGCTACCCTTGAGATGTTGGTGGTCGAGCCTCTAAACTGGTGGGGAGTGTTCCTGTCCTGTCCTCTGCTTCTCTGATCTGAGGAGAGAAGCCAAAGGCTGTGTGCATGAAGAAGGGCTGAACATTCGCACCAGGATGGAGGCAGGTGCTGGGGAGGGACAGGGAACCTGACCTTGCTGGCTGACCCTGGAAGCTCAAGGGCTGCAGATCCTGGGCAGCCCGCTTCCACCCAAAGCCTCAGGAAGGAGTTGACAGAGCACTGTGAAGTTTCACAGGGAGGGGGCAGACCTTTGGCTTACAGAATCCATCCTGTGACTCACCTGCAGGAATGGGAGCTACATGAGTGGGCCTAGGGACCCCTGGGAAGGTGCTCAGGGCCAAAAAGCTGAGGGCTGGGGATGAACGCAGCCAAAAGGCCCAAAGAGGGCACTCACCTGGAGTGTAGGCGTCACAAGTGGCCCCGCCATTCCAGGGTCCCCGTCAGGGGCGGAGCAGGCGCTGGGGACAGTGAGTGGTGAGTGGAAGGAGCCCAGGCCCAAGTACAATCCACCCCTGTCCGTCTCCCCAGAAGGACCACCCAGATAGAGAAGAGACAGGAAAGGGTGAGACATGGGGCTAACACACCTGGTCAGCCCAGATGATCCCCTCACATCCCAAGAAGCCACACCCTGAGACCTGCTCACCCACACAGCTCCACCCCTCACTCCTGCTTTTCCCAGGGGTGTCTTCTCGGACCAACCTATATAAAATGCCACCCCCACCCCAGAATTCCTCCCCTACCCTCACTCCCTGTTGTATTTTTCTTCATAGCACCTCTGTTATCTGACATAATGCAGTCAACTTACTTGCTTCTTCTCCGCCTTCCCCCATGAGATAAGACCTGCAGTCTGGTTATTCATGCTGTAACCCCAGAGCCTGGGGGAGGGCCTGAAACACAGCATGTGCTCAGCAAGGGTCTGTGGAATGAACGACTGGTTCCATGACAGGGGATGATTCTGCAACCAGTGAGAGCACGTTGTGGAACATCAGAAAACGTTCTTGCTGCATTACTATGTGAAACAAGCAGACTATACGCAGCACACATCCCAGCACATTAACCTTAGTTCCTTTCTGGGTGATTCTTATTTTCCTTCTTTCCATTTTTCTGATTTCTCCAAGACTTACTGCTTATTTACAAATGTGTGTTGCAGTTGGAGAAAAGTTATTTAAAAACCAATAAATACAATTCTGTTCAGAGTAGGCCCTGGTCTCCATGTCCCTTCCTCAATGGATACTTGAGCTCTTGTGGTTGGGTAGAGGTCTCTGCAGTACCCTTTTCTGTGGGGCTTGAGCCTCCTAAATAGCTGCCACGTTGTAAAGTAGGCATCAGTTAACAGAATCCTGTAGTTATGATGCTATGTCACAGTTAGCAAGAGAGCCCTTTAAACATGTGAGTATAACAAGCTACACACGACAATCTGAGAGGCTTGGTGGGTCACCCGTGCCTGCACAGCATTAACTGCAAATGCAAAGATCAGCGCCACACCACCACCCACTGGGCTGTCTGTTCAGGGCAGTCTGTGGGCAGGACCTGTGGGGACTATTGCTGCTGCCCCTGCTGACAGAGCTACTGTCCTCCTCACCCCAACGAGGCAACCAGAGCCCCTAGAGAGGATGAGCAGCTCAGGAGAAGACCTGGCCCTCAACTTCACAGTTAGGAGGGGACGTTACCATGCTGGTCTTTGTTTGCTCATATCTGGGGAATGCATGTCCTCAGGGAAGGGCCCTCTGGTTAGAGGGGAAAAAAAACAAAAACCCGGTCCTAACTTTGGAACCAGGGAGTAAGTCTTTAATCAGAGAAAAACAGTGCGGAGTTGAAAAAAGTGGGGCAGGGGATATAATAACAAACAGACAGCTTCCTGCTCAGAGTCCTGAGAGAGAAAATATCAAGGGGAGGGGAGTGCTAACATAGATGGGGGATCAGGGAAGCCTTCCTGGGGGGATTACACTTAATTGGGGCCTGGAGGACCAGCAGAAGCCATTCTTTCCCTCCGATTTAGAATAAAACCTCTGTTTCTCAGGGGCCTGGGGCACCTTGCCCCACCCCTCCACCCACCCCCTTGCTTACTACACTGCAGCCAGACTGGTGTTCTCTCTGCTACTCAAACTAGCCAAGGCCATTCTCGTGCACTTTCCTTCGCCTACAAGGGATTAGCAAGGCTTCTCAGCCATCAGGTTTCAGTTCATACGGTAACTTCTGGAAGAGACTTCATCTCCCACAAGCCTATCCTCTTGGCTCATTTTCTTCAGGGTCCTTGCAATGATAAAAACTACTTTCTTACTTGTTTGTTGCCCCTATTACATGAATGCCTCACTTCTATTACACTACATGCTCCCTGAAGCCAGGGACGTTGCCCGTTCACGGGGTTATCCCCAGCGCGAGCAGAGTCCTCTGGACACGGTAAGTACTCCATGCTGCCTACGGAATGCCTGCGGTCCAATCAGTGACGCAGCCCCCGGGGAGAGCCCGCGCCCCGGGCTAGCCAGCCAGCACCTGCTGCTCCCGAGCAGGTGCGCTCCGGCAACCGCAGGCGTGAGGACGAAGGGGGCGCAACCCGGACAGAACTGGTCCTCCCAGGCGTCCCACCCCTGCAGCCTCAGCTTTGCGCAGCCACCCAGGCTCCGGGGACGCAAGACTCGGGACCCGGCCCGCACGCCCCCCGCCCCACTCGGGGGAACGGGAATCCGGACCCTCTCTAAGGCCCAGAACCGAAGGAAAAGCGCCGGCTGCGGGTCAGCACCCCCTGCGGGGCTCGGCGCGGCCTCTCTGCGGACCACAGCCTCTGCCAGGCCGGGATCGGAGAACCGCACTCACCTGACTCCGCTCCCCGCCCCACCGCCAGAGCCTACTCATCCCGGGCCGCCATCCGGGACCGCGTGGGGACCGGCGCCGGGGCGCAGGCAGTCCGCTTCCGGCCCGCCCCCGGAAACGGACCGCAGCGCCGCTCTAGGAGGCTCGGAGGACCGCGCGCCTCGATGGACGCCCTCTGGCTCCTGGGGCGGGAGGCAAGTGATGGCGAGGGCTGCTGAGAGTGGGGTGCTACTCTGGAGCGGATCCCGCAGGAACCCCCAGGTCGGAGGGTCGAGCCCGCTGCTGGAGTCAGGGGTCCCGGCGAAGGACTCCCAAACCTGAGAACCGCCTCATTCACGCGGACCTCGAGAAAGGCCAGAGAAGAAGTTGAACATCAATTCCAGGCAACCGGGTTCTGAGGCTAACGCCCTCCCTTTTAACTTTTTATGTTTAAATAATTATAACATCACAGCAAGTTGCAAAGGCAGTGTAGGGAGGTCCCGTGTATCCTTCACCCTCTTCCCCACATTTTGAAAAAGCTCCTCCACGACCGTGTCTTTCAAGCTTTTCTGAGACTCACAGTTAAATAAAAATGCTTCACAGGGCGCCTGGGTGGCTCAGACGGTTGAGCGTCTGCCTTCGGCTCGGGTCGTGATCCCAGGGTCCCGGGATCGAGTCCCGCAGCGGGCTCCCCGCTCCAGTCCGCTTCTCCCTCTGCTTCTCTCTCTCTCTCATAAATAAATAAATAAATAAAATCTTAGAAATAAAAATGCTTAACAGTGTGACCCGTCACACGTGTTAAATCTATGTTTATGGATAAATGCTTACACATAGTAATCTTTAAAAACTTTAACAAAGCTATTTACTCATGATATCGCAAATGTTTTCCTTTAAAAGTGCAGAAGCCAAGACTAACCCTTTTTGAAGAGGGAGGGACGTTAGCACAATAGCGGAAATCTATGAGGCTGCGAAGGAGGCATCATACAAACTACATCATCTGAAAATCGGACATTAAATTTAGATGTGGTTAAATAGTTTAAACAAATATGTTTGGAAACTAAATAGCAACCTACTAAATAGCTCTGGGAGAAAGAAAATCATAAAGGGCTCTGTAACAGACCTGGAATTGAAAGAGAATGAAAACACTTTGCAGGATACTTAGAAAAATTAATATGTATATATTATATATATGTGCTTCTGTATATGTTAATATAAGTATACAGGCATACCTTGGAGATATTGCAAGTTCGGTTCTAGACCACTGCAATAAAGTGAATATGGCAATAAAACAAATCAAATGAATTTTTTGGTTGCCCAGTGCATATAAAAGTTATGTTTAGAGGGGTGCCTGGGTAGCCTGGTCCGTTAAGCTTACACTCTTGATTTTGGCTCATGTCATGCTCTCAGGGTCCCAAGATCCAGCCCCGTATGGGGCTGCTTAAGATTCTCTCCCTTTCTGAGCACATGGGTGGCTCAGTTGGTTGAGCGTACAACTCTCTCTCTCTCTTTTTTTTTTTTTT